TCCGATCAGTCGATGCTAGTTCCTTGACCATGACCTCTCGAAGTTCCCTCAGGTGGGCAAAAGTCGGCGGATCTAACTGCTAGCGTCCTTCTTAGAAGGGCCCCCGCCAAACAATGACATGCCCCTAGAACCCTTAATTTAACCCAAGGTTGCGCCAGGTCCATGTGTAGATGTGTCCATGTATGTATGTATGTATGTGCGCATGTTGCTGTAAGTGTGTATGTCAGTGTGTCGTGTAGGTATGTATCGAACACCCCGGAACGATTGAATCCCATGCCTGATATTCCTAGGGGCCAGCGAGCGACCGCCCCATCAGACATAGGGATCTCTCATCATTCGGATTTTCTGAAACCCTAAACCCTAAACCCTAGAGTCCCACCTATTCGCCCCCTGTGATACTCCAAGCTATATCCTCACGTTTGAAGATGCTTTTTGAGGGCCCAACTCCAGTTCTCCGGACCCCGAACCCTACCCTACCTTTTTATAAGGGGTCCTTAGTCTGATTTCTTTATAAAAGTCCTTATAAAATGTAGGTTATTTGGGTTATAAGGTAAACCCTAAACCCTAAACCGTAAACCCTAGACCCTAAACCCTAAGGTGCACCCTAAAACGCATCTGAGGCTCCTGGATGTGGTGCAGGGCCCGGCCAAGGAATATCTTGAGAAAATGGGCTGGCGATATCCAGAGGAGGCCGTTTCCGGGCGAAGGTCGGGGCTTCCTTTCAGGGTTCCTTTAAGGGATCCATCGACATTTAGCTTAGGATACCTTATGACGGCCCTTATGTTGCCTAAACTCTGAAGAAATTCGCGTGTTGGGATTATTGAAATGTGGTTTCCGTATACCTGTTCTTAAAAGGTATGGGCTGCGGTTGTTGGGTGTGAGGGGGCAGGCTTTTGGATTTGTTTTTGCTATCTTCTGGGATTCTGCATGAGCAATCGGGCCATTTAGGCTTTATCAGATTATGACAAGAGTTTCATAGGGTTGTCTCCGGCTGGCGTCTTCTTTGCCCTCGGTTGGGTCGCTGTCGGAGGAGAGAGCATCCAGCCAGCGCGCTCTCACGGCCCCTGTGTGGTGGGGTTTGCTTTCAAGTAACAAGGGGCCGAAATCTTCCGGAAAGACAGGCTCCAACTTGTAGTCGCACTTCAGAGCCACTCAACCGTGAGCCCCAAATGAGCCCGAATGCCTTTGAACTGGTGATTTCGCTTGCCAGGCCATATAGCGTGTGTGTGTGTGTGTGTGTGGGTGGGTGTGGGTGTGTGGGTGTGTGTGTGTGTGTGTTTGTGTTTGTGTTTGTTTTTTTCCTCGCGCACGAAAAACCGACGCCAAAGCGACGCGGAAGGGCGTGCTGCTGGAAGAAAGACTTTGGGCCAACCCTCACATAGTTTAAGTTGTGATTCTAAGTGCCGCATTGCAACCAACTCAGACTCAACCCATCGATACAAGTGCATCACCGGGAGCTCGTGTTGCTTTCTGCTTCGGCCAGCACACGATTTGTCTTCTTCGGCCTCGGGTTCCAAAAGATGCTCCGACTCAGATCTGGTCTCGTTTGCTTTGCTGGCCATGCATTGACATTTATGCATGTGCTTGGCACGCGCTTCCTTCGGAGGTAAACCTGTCGTGAGGCATGTCCCAATCAATCATCAGTGAGACCCGTCCCACAACAAGTCAATGCAGCTCTGGTAGAGCTCGTCTTTGCTGCTTGCCACTCACGTGGAGATTTCAGTCATGTCAATCCAGTCACCTGCTATTCAAAACAGCAGACGCATCAGTACCTGTCCAAATTATTTCCTAGGAGCCTTGAGCCTCGCCGGCTCGCACATCGCCAAAGGTGCGGATACGACTCATGCTCATTCGACAGTTGCTGCCCCACAGGGCAGTTAGCCCTTCTTTGTCCGGGCATCATGCCTTGAATGTTGGCCAACTTTGGAGCGGTTCCGACCAACGACTCGAGCTCATAACCACCATCACTTATAGCATGGGCGATAAATTACAATAGCATCCAGAACGCGGTAAGGCAGCAATCACAGCGAGCCTGTCTGCGGAATAAAGCAGAATGAGTGTCGCCTGCGTCTCAACGCACTAAGGCTAAGAAGTTTTCTGAGATCTTCTGAGTTTTTGGGACTGGTAGGGTGAGCTCCAAATGGGCCCGGTTCCCGAGGCAAAGAGATGTTGAGCATGCATTTCTCTCAATGCCAGCATGGCTCACCCCAAGCTCATTAAAAGCTCAACTGTACCTGCTTCACGGTCTTCCGGCCCGTCCAGAGGAAGCCATGACCGAATTGAACCGAGTCTTCATGTCATATGCCGACTTTCACCTGCTACCTGTGGGCCATGTGGAGGGAATGGAGGAAGAGGGCAAACGCGCATTCACTTTGCACCTCGCTCGACTTCTGTAAACAGATCTCAAAACACTTCCCGGACAAAATCTCATCCCATCTTTCAACACGACAACCCAACCCGAGCGCCTTTCTTTGTTCCAAACTCGGTTCGAAGGTGTTTACGAAGCTTCAAAGACATCCCAAGCACAAGTTTTGGATTGTCAGGTTCTCCAGTGTTTGCAGGCAGTAGACGATCTTGAGACCAAGGCGTGAGTACGAATCCAGACAGGGTCACCTTCGAGGTTCATTCCAGAGGGTGACCCTCGAGTCCTCTGCAAAGTAGCATGTGGAGAGCCGGCAAACTTTCAGGTATCACAGCTTACTTTGTGGCGATGTGGGCGATGATTGGAGCTTAGCTCCTGATGACGTGCCTCGGCTGATATAACATGAGCGCAACCTGATCATACCAGGTCATGCCAGTGTGTCAGAGTGTCAGAGCGCTTTGTGGCAACCGATTGTGCTTGTTCTGCATGAGTTCGCTATCTTGGTGGGTTTCATTTGAATCCAGAGTCTGTCGGGCGTGCCTACATACGCCCGAGGGCCGAGGGCATGTGTAGATTCGGATTGTCCACATGTGCTTGAGTGCAGTGCTTCTGTGCTGTTGAACAAGTTGCGATACTCCCGCCCGCACACACTGGCATCTGATTTTTGCAGCGAGGAAAGCATGGAAAACATCGCAAAGCCATTGGCATCACGTTGCGAAGTTGTACAGCATGCGCGGGTGGTTATTGTCCGTGGTCACCACTTCTCAGATCTTGCACTGTTCTCGAGCGATTCCATCACACAAGTCCTGGAAGATGGCGTGCTTAACTTGCGTATGCCGATCATCTTGCAATCAGAGGCAAGGGCTGGTGAGCTGTCTCGCCATGTTGCTTGGCTGGCCATCAAGGAATGATCATTATTGTGAAACTGCGAAGATGGAAAAGACACGAGAGTTGGCCACCTGACGCTTGTTGGATCTGAGGATCTAGAGAAAGGACCAGGAACGTGACGGAAAGAATGTTGAAGAAGTGACAGGATGAACATGGACAAATACTGGAACCTTTCTGGAAGTGGAGCACTGTTTTCGTTTGATGCCCGGCGAGATACGGGGAGCATGAAGCTTTGTGAAGAGATGCCCAGGTATGGAATCTTTGTGGCACGGAATTTTCAGTCGCTTCACATGATTTCAGACCGTTATGTAACCAATTCGGTACGCGCACCGAGGGGAACTTGAGATCCGAAAATTAACCAGGATTGTGCCCAGACATCCGGCAGACACAAAGAACCGACCGAAACTCCAACGGCGAGCCGTTCAGATGCTTTCCGGATATTGAATGCAAGCAGCACCGAGTGAGACAAGGATACATCGAAGCATCAAGAAGCACTGCATTGAGGAATTAAAGTTGCTTTCTGGATTTTGAACGCACGCAGCACCGAGTGAGACAGGGATACAAAGAGGCATCAAGAAGAAGCGCATTGAGGAACTGAAGCGGAATTATGCGGAATTCGACAGCACATCGAGCGACAGCCGTGTAGCCGAGAACATCTCAGTAGCTAAGGCAGAGGCTTTAGCTGCCGGGCTCCCGTTTGTCCAGCAAGTTCACAGGTGCGAACTTGTTCGAAATTCCGATTGAGCTACGTTCAGGCCGTTGAGGCCGACAGTGAGGGCAATGGTGTGGCTCTCAGAACTTGGTGCCGTGCATCCCTTGTTCAGTGCATCGAGGTCGCACACTTTCAGGTGAATTTGTTGATCTTGAGTTCGAGTTTTTCAGCGACGGTCACTTCCCTGTGGACGTGAGTGTGGACGTGTGGAAAACGGCCGATGCATGCCCGAGCACTCCATTGGCGGACGGCGAGGACGCCAAAAATGTTACAAGCCGGTTTCCATGCATAGGAACAAGTTTCCAGAGTGAAACAAGATTGCACGAGAGGCAGCCACAAGACAGTGTTTGTGACCGTCCAGGACCCATAATGCTCGTATGGCGGGCTGGCGGCTGCAAAGAACGAAAGACAATGATGCCAGCGTAAATCCTCTGAAGAGGAAAGAGCACCGCGACGACTACGACGCCCACGGCCACTAACGCGACGACCACTACGCCCGGGGAGACCACCCTGAGACCACCAAGCAACCACGAGACCACCAGGACACGCTTTCCCAATGTACTGGCGGGATTCAGGAGCCTTCCAAAGCGCGGCCACAATGCTTTCGCCCAAGCATTGGCCCGATTCATCAGGCCGGGAAAGATGCTTTCCCGAAAGTACTGCGGGCGATTCAAGTGGCTTGTTGTAATTTACAATGGCTCTGCGGGTGATGCGGCCGCATCGATGGCAAACTTGCTCCACAGCGGGAGGCTCCCGTTGTGGCGCACTGCGCAGGGATGTTCGCCAAGTCTCTTTGCTGGAAGCCCACGAAGTCTACCACACTGTCCCGGGGAAATCGAATCATGCCGTGGGCAGACCCGCAGCCTCTCAAGCATGGCTTGCCAGTCTGCCTCGGTTTCTCGAGTGAGCTCTAGGTTTCAGTGGAAGTTTGGAATGGCGTCACCAATGGATAGCTGAGACGACGACTGAGATGGATTTTGCGACAACATCGGCGCGGATCCCCAGCAAGTTTGGCTTTTTGCGCGGCACTCGTCTCAGGTCAGGATTGTTGAGAACGGAGTTGCATGGTCCTAAGGCATATCTTGGACTATCTTGGTGGAATAGACTGAATAGACTACAAAGCCGGACCGTTCCAGTCGGGAGGTTTGCAAGCCAGAGGGCCCGCCGTCAGAAACGACGCTGCGGATCGAAAGGCGAGATGTGGGCGATGTTCAGTGTTTGCGGCGGAGTGTCAATGTCGAGGAAGTTGCTGTCCGCAGACAAGATGATGTCGGCACCTCGTACGGGTTTTGCAGCCTGACAGAAATATCCGATGGTATGTTTCTTAGCCGCAAATTTAGGTTGCAATAAAGAGAATGAAAAAGCGACCCTGTGGTCTAGCCTATGGGATACTGGTCTGAAGTCTGGGAGTGGCTGAAGAAAAGCGCCAGCTGAACCGATCCGTAGAAGGCGCGGAATCGAAGACTCCTGCAGTGACGCCAGCTGTTGCGTCTCAGAACTGGAACTGTGAGGGTGTTGAGTTGTGCGGGCGTGGGAAGCGACATACTGATGCGTGTGCAGCAAATCGCAAAGCCAGCATGCCAGCGCCAGCTCTATGGCCGGATACAGGGCAAGATGTGGTAAGTCTCTGCTTAGCCCCCGGACTGCTTCCGACCTGCTCGGTGTAGTCTGATTTCCCGAAAGAATCCCAAGTTTACCGGGCATACTGTGACTCTACCCTGGCTGAAAGTACAGAATAGAATAGACCTCAACTTCAACAGACTTTGAAGAGCCATAAGTCCTGGCAAGATCTCAATAGTCGTCGGTCAGCTTACGCTACAGTTTTTCTTGCTGAGGGTGCAGCTGCAGATCGTAGATGAGGAGGTGAAGGATGTGTCGCAATGCATTTACTGCAGGCAGGATCGCCAACAGCCAGTGGCACAAGGATCTTGGGGATGACTGCCAGACTGGCTCAGGACTGCAGCAACCTCGACGACAGGCGCTACCGGATGGTTGTATTGACCATATGCTGACTTGAATGAGGGGGATCTGGAATGACCACTTGCTGTGCCAACAGCAGGGCCGTCGCCTGTGTCATTCCTTCGTGTGCACGGGCGGCCACTGAAAACACTTGAGGTCCGAAGCATCCGCTCACTGTCCATGCTCCGGAACATGCAACGCAGTCTGGCGAAGATCTTTGCAGGATCGTTTGACTGTGCTGGATAAGGCCGCGGCCGTCGTGCTGTTCCTAATTCGAGCATTCCTTGGAAGGCTCATCGCCGCGTTTGTTGCGTTGCATGTTGGTAGGTCGGCCAGTTGGTTGCCGACAGCTGCGAGGAAATCAGCCAGGCGCAGGCAACGGATCGGGCCTGCGACCAAGGCGACTGGTAATCAATACGCGGGGAGGAAGGCAGCTGTTTTCGGGGTTTGTTCCCAAAGGGTTCGGGGCGCGCTCTGGAGTGGACACTGTCAAGTACAAGATGGCACCAACACAACCCCCGCAAAGAAATGCAGGCTGATTTTTCTCTGCTGTGTTTGTGTTGAGTGTATTGGTTCACTTAGACGTGCACACTGTGGCGCACCCAGACCCATTGCCAATCATGAACATGCATTCTTTTCGCCTCAAAAACTTTCCGCAACCCAACACAAATGTTGCACAGGAAGACAAAGACCCAAGACAGTCAATGAAGAAGCTTCTCCTTAAGGATGTGAGATGGACTTTTACTCGTAGGCTTAGTCTCTGAGGTTGTGCCTGAGAAGTTTCATGGTTCTGCAAAGATGATCTTGGGGGGTCAGATGCTCAGATGCCATTGCTATTGAATGCAGCGGGGTGCAGCTTGCGCAGCACCCGTCATTACTAGTGATGTCCGAGGCATTGCTTTCTACAAGAGCTTGCTGCCGGAGTGGGTGAAGCCGGAGAGCCTGCCCGATTCGGCAAAGTGAAGACGTTCATCTCGCTTCAAGCCAGGAGCCTGTGGAAGACCTCGTCCCAGTTCCGTTGAAAGCAGGTGTGGAGGCCGCAAGATCACGCAAGTCCAGTCTCTTTGTGCACACCTGGCATGGCTTGATGTAAGACGCAGGCGGAGTGGGCGATATACAATGAGCCCAAAGGGGTCAGATGCTGAAACTTCCTGATGCATCTAGCCAGGCATGCACTGCGACAAAGTGGTACACGAGTTGGCTCAGGTTTGTGTCAACATCACGCCCTGGAATGCCCCGGCCACCATCAGTTTGGCCAATGCTATTTCAATGCTGGCGGCTGGGAATCATGCCACTAGCTGCAAGGACCCATTTCGTATGCTGTTCCGGGACACATGTCTCAGAATCAGACAGTGCCACTGGACTCCACATGCAAGCGAGGTTGTTATCAAACCCCCGGAGCTGGTTCCTACTGTTTCGGCAGTCCTGCGGCGTCTCTGCACACTGCCTTTGACTGGAATCACAGCACTGCTGCAAAGACTCTTGCAGTGCCGTGGTGCATGCCAACAAGCCTTGCCGAGGTCAAAGGCCAGCCATGTCCAAATACTTCCCTGTTGGCTTCTACCGCACTGCTGCTTTGCTGTCACGCGCTTTTTGGCTGATTTGGATTGGTAGGTACCTGAGTGGCTATGTGTGGGTCGAGGAGGGCGGAAAGGAGGTACGCAGAGCAGCGTTTGCATGTCCTGTGCAAAAGACCCGCGTTGGCAGGTTGTCGAAAGGCTCATTGATGAAGGAGCGTTTGCTTTGCTTTGCTGTGGCATTGCATCGGAGCGATCGTGCACGGTGCTCTCGTTGTCCACTGGCAGAAACCTGGCCAGGCCCTGGCACAGGCGCTTAACACTGACAAATCCGAGCCTGTCCACCTCAGCAGAAAGATTTTCATTTTCTTCTCCAAAGCGGATCGTCCAAGTATCCAGACAGGAAAGCACAATCGTGGTTCAAAATCATGCAGTTGAGGCCTATTGAGGCTAGAGTGCCAGCGTGAGGCCACATTGACCACACAATCTCGTGGAGTATAGGCACCTGAATAAAGCGTGCAAACCAGAAGGTTGCTGCAGCTAGTTGACAAGAGAGGTTTCAGTCACAACACCATGCACCAGCATGTGCGGCACCACTAGTCACTAGAATAAGAAGTCGCACTTGCCAACAATCCCAGATGAAGGAGCTGATCATGTGGCCGTCTCCTTACGCAGTCAACATGCAGCATGCATTAGCTGGTTCTGCTGGGCTCTCCGTTTGAGTCCTTCACCGGCGGCGGCGAGATTGCCAAGATCGTGGCTGCTCGCTGTGGCCAGGCATTGTGTCCTGATGTGGGTGGCATGAAGAAGTCCTTCCTTGTTGCCAGCTTTGCCAGATGTTGACCCCGATGACTCTGGAGCTTGGCGGGAAGAGTCCGGCATTTGTAGATGCTGGGTATTCGGCTCAACTCAATAAGCGGGATTTGAGGCGATGTGCTGCGCTTCCTTAAGCATGCGAGGTTGGACGAGGGCATGCTGCGCAGCATCGTCCAAGAAATTTTGGAGACCAAGGCGATCCGATGTGGAATTTGGATGAATTTGGTGGGGGGTGGGGGTGCCGATGGCTCCGCAAAAAAATCTCAAAGATTCCAAAAGTAACCGAGTCCTCGGCGGTCGGCTGAGGTAGAAGAGGAAAGTGATATGAGGTTGGGAGAGGGAGGTTTCCTTGTTGTATCAGAAACCCAGTGGTTGAGCCGCCGTCATGCCATTTCCATGCTGGTTCATAGAGACGAAAGGCAGTACTCGTCTGGCGCATAGCAGCACTGCGCCTGACTCTGCCATGTTCGCACAGATTTAAGTTTTCATGCATGCGATCCGCATGGAGCGTTGAAAACATCGGAGTTCATCATGGTGTATGCGCAGTTACGAAATCTTTCCGTGGCTTGTGCCTGCCCTATCATTGCTTGGCGGACCTTCAATGTCGCAAATGGTGCAGCATGCCAGGTTTTCAAGACGGGGCAGTTCTGCTGTGCGCACGATTATGTCGGAACCCGGCAGAAACGGGACCAAACGGCATGGGTGCAATGATTGTGCAATGGATTCTTTCGTTCTCTCTCTCTCCCTCTATATATATATATGATATGATATGATATGATATGATATGCACATGGTTCCCCCTAGAAAACCCCACGCCTCAGATTTACAGGAGCGCAGATTCGCAGATTTGCAGTTGCAGATGCCGAGCTTTGCAGATTCGCAGATCAGACGGATGCCAGATCATAGGGTCTGTAGATGCTGCGAATCTGCGAATCTGTGCGAACGCGTGAAGCATCATGACATCCAGATTTCGCACTGAAAAATGAACGCATATAAGAATCTGCTACTCGTATTGCCAAGGCAGGAAAAACTGTTGTTATGGTTTTAGTAAAGACCCATTTCCTTCTTCCCGATGAGAAGTCAGGGTAATGGCAGCGCTGACAAGGTCTGATTTTGGAGGACGACGTGAAGTCCGATCATCAACCGGGTTTCCGCATATGCTCTTCCTTAGTCATTTACGTGGTATACACGTACTACAAGACACAACGTGCGAAGCACTCTTTTATGTCTTGAGCCAAATGGTGTGATCAAGTGAAACGTTCGCACTGCTCTTCACCTACAGTAGTCATCTAGTTACATAACGAAAGTGTACGGGGTCCGAGTATTTTCAACTCCCCCCTTGAAGACAGCGTGAGACGTTACACTATCAGACTTGAAGAACTAGGTACCTAAGCTACGCGGCAGCCTAAAGCCCAGTGACTTCAGCACTCGCAGGTCAAAGACGTGCAGCTTGTTCAACCCTCCTGGGCTGAAAGCCACGAGCACGACTCTGGCTCCGAGGGGTTCTACCCAAGGAACGGTGCAGTGCTTTCTTGAAGGCTGAAAGCTGGCGGGCAGCTCAAGTACTTTGCCGGGTAAGTTGCAGTCAAACTGAGGGCACTGGACGGTGCCTTCAGGATCTTCGATCCAGATGCCTCCTCCGGCAACACTCGTGAGAGGGATCACGAGGTTAAACGACGATGGTTCGTTCCAAAAGTCATTGTGGAGTGACGTACACTGTCCTTGATATACCCCTATGGCTGCAAAGTGGTGATTTCTTGAGCGCTGGCGGACAAAGCGAGCTAACACACTTGAAACCCTACTGAACTTGTGAGTGTTGTTCCGAATGCCAACAATCCCACCGCCGTGGCAGTAAGCACCAACAGTGAAGCAATGCACTTCACCGTGGTTTGGACCGCGAACTGCACCATCATTCGGCAGGTGACCTAGAAGGCAAAGGATGTGTTCCTCTGTCAAGCGATGTGGAAGGGACCCAGCGATCGCTTCAACGACAGGTAAGGAGTTCGCAAGTTCGGTAGGTTTGGCTGCTGTAGCACATTGTAGCACTTGCAGAAGCAGTGGTGAGGTTGGGCAGTACACCCATCTGCTCCAGTGTTGCAGGCCAATCCTGTGGTGACACGATTTTCGTGAAACCGTTAGCGCGTTGTTCGTCTGTTTTGCAGTAAACAATTGACACTCTAGGTTCTGCCAGGCGTTCACAGACTGACGAGACGTTGACTCTATGCACCCTAGATGCATGACGAAGTTTCGCACGGTATCCCGTCTTCAACACAGCGAGAAGAGTGCTGTTGTCCTGTTGGTACAGAACAGGCACCTCTACTCCGAGAATGTCTTCAAGGATCGCCTGGAGACATTCGATTTCAGCGAACATCGCCGTAGCAAGGGCAATGAGCTCTGCTTCAGTCGTCGACCGTGCGGTGGAGGTCTGTTTCTTTGACATCCAATGTACTGGGTACATGCACGCTCCAGTGCGGATCATGACAATGATTCCGGATGTAGACTTAGCCGTGTGAGGACAGGCTGCAAAGTCCGCATCTGTGTAGACTTCTAGCGTGCACTCTGTCTCGGTCTGAGAAACTGACCCTTGAAGTGTCAAGTGATTGCTTTGGTGAAGGTATGACATGAGCCTGAGCAGCTGACGATCCTCAAACTTCGTCCACTTACTGACTCGAGATGCCAGACGAGTGACGATGAAGGAAATGTCGGGACGTGCTAAGCGGCTAAGCCATAGAGCTCGCATAAGCACACGAGATGCCGCGCTGTGAAGTTCTCCTTCGGATTCAAGCTCGGAATCTGTGGCTTGGTTCTCGGGAATTACTGGTGACGGTACTCGCCTGAGCTTGTCTGGCGAGATTCCAGAGATCTCACAGTAGAACTCTATCAGCTGAGCAGCATAACTTCTCATGTCAAACTCACACGTTGCAGAAAAATCATCTTTGGTAAAACTGTGGTGCCTACCAAGAATCCTACAACCCTCTTCACCCGAACCTACGTAGACTTCTGGGTCGAGTT